GGAGAGGAATAGAGAGCTAGAAATGTCGATGAGAGAGAGACATTGACCAGCTGCCTCCTGCACACCCCCTACTGGGGGATGTGCCTGGAACCAATGTGTACGCCCTTGACCAGAATTGAACCTGGGATCTTTCAGTCCGCAGACCGATGCTCTATCCACTGAGCCAAACCATTTTCGGCTGTTGATTTATTTACGGTAGCCATTCTGGCAGGTGTGAGGTGGTACCTCATTATCATTTTAATTTGCATTTCTCTGATAATTAGTGACTTTGAATATTTTTTCATATGTCTCTTGGCCATTTGCATTTCCTCTTTGGTGAAGTGTCTATTTAGGTCCTCTGCCCATCTTGTAATTTTTTTGTTTGTTTTGTTTTGTTTTGTTTTTTGTCTTCCTTTTGTTGAGTTCCTGGGAATTTTTTTTTTTTTTTTAAATTACTGCTTCAACTTCATCTGTTGTTATTGGACTATTTGAGTTTTCTGATTCCTCCTGATTCAGTTTTGGAAGATTGTGTTTTTCTGGGATTATGTTCATTTTGTCCAGGTTGTCCAGCTTGTTGGCGTATAGTTGTTCATAGTATTTTCTTAAAAACCTTTGTATTTCTGTGGTATAAGTTGTTAATTCACAACTTTCATTTCTGATTTTATTTATTTGGGTTCTTTCTCTTTGTTTCATGATAAGTCTGGCAAGAGGCTCATCAATCTTATCTTTTCAAAGAACCAGGTCTTGGATTTACTTATCTTTGGTATTGTTTTTTTAGTCTCTATGTCACTTATTCTGCTCTGATCTTTATTATTTCCTTCCTTCTGCTTACTCCGGGCTTTTTTTTGTTGTTCCATTTTTATTTTATTTTTTTAATGTATTTTATTGATTTTTCAGAGAGAGAGATAGAGAGTTAGAAACATCAATGAGAGAGAATCATCGATCAGCTGCCTCTTGCACACCCCCCACTGGTGATGTGCCCGCAACCAAGGTACATGCCCTTGACCAGAATCGAACCCGGGACCCTTCAATCCGCAGGCCGACGCTCTATCCACTGAGCCAAACTGGTCCCGGCTTGTTGTTCCATTTTTTTTAATTCCTTTTTTTTGTTTTTGTTAAATTTCACCTGAGGTAGTTTTTTTCCCCCAGTGATTTTTAGAGAGGGTGGAAGGGAGGGGTAGAGGCAGAGAAAGAGAAACATTGATGTGAAGTTGCCTCCTGCATATGTTCCAACCAGGACTGTGGATTGAACCTATAACCCAGGTATATGCCCTTGACTGGAATCAAACCCAGGACCTTTCAGTCCATGGTCTATCCACTGAGCCAAACCAGCTCTAATTCTTTTAGTTGTAGTACTAAATAGTTTTATTAGAGCTTTTTCATGTTTTCTTGAGATAGGCCTGTAATGCTATGAACTTCCCTCTCTGGACTGCTTTTGCTTTTTCCAGTAAACTTTGGGGCATTGTGTTCATTTTCATTTGCTTCCAGGAAGATTTTTATTTCTTGCTTGATATAATTGGTAAAACATTCATTGTTTAATAACATGCTAATTAGTCTTAGCTGGTTTTGGCTCAGTGAATAGAGCGTTAGCCTGCAGACTGAAGGATCCATTCTGGTGCAATGGGGTGTCTTCGCATTTTTGTTGTTCCTCTGTATTTATTTGTATGTATTTTAAACTGCTCCACCTCCCAGTCTTCATGGACTGGCCTTATGTAGTAAGTGGTTTGTGGAACCCAGTAGTGAAGACTCTCAGATCTTGTTGTTCCAGACCAAAGAAAAACTAAGCAATGCTTTTAGAGAAAAGGAGTAACACTTTATTTATGCCTGCAGACCCAGAGGAATAACCTCCCAAATCAGAGTAATGTAACAAGCAGGGGGATTCTCTTTTATATCTCCCTGCTGTCTTTGTCTCGCAAATATGGATTATGTTTCCGGTCCTTTTTTCGGGCTTTGCAAGAAGGCCCCCAGGTGTTGGGGGTCTCCAGGCCATATTTGATGGTCTGGCCTGACGCCAGCATTAATAACCCTCCTTCCAGGGCAGTGCACTGTTCACAGTTTCATGGCCTCTGTAACAGGTCCTGTAAGACCAGTGTCTGGGAAAGAGGTAGTGACTTAATTATAGGTTATCAAGAATGTACACTGGGCTTGCTGGCATGGATTCAGATTGCTAGTCCCCTTCCCCCTAAATATCGGGGTGACATTGGAATTAGCTTTTAGCCTCCTCATCCTCAGGCGGGTGCTCTAGGCATGTCTCGTGTGTGAGTTTTTTGGGCTCTCCTGTTGGACTTGGGTCTTGAAGGTGGTTGTCCCATTTGTGGATGGAATCTTCGGTCAGGCTGGCTGGCTGGCTTTGTGGCTCATGCCTGACCACCTTGTGCCAGCTGTTGTGCAGATGCTTACAGAATAGAACAAAACAACAAAACAAAACAAAGACATACACAAGAACCGTAAAACTATAACAAAAGCAACCACAAAAGAAGAGAAAACTAGGAAAGAGAAGAGAGAGCAAGAATGATAGAAGAAAAGAAATAAAAAGATAAAAGAAGAAAATGGAATGTGCAAGGGCAGAGATGAAATAAAGAAAATAAAATTAAAGGATAGAGGAAGGAAAACACTATACTAGTAAAAGGAAGAAAACAGAAAAGAGAAAGAAAAAATTCAAAAGGGATATAGAGGAGAAAGCAGATAGACTAAAAATACAAAAAGAAAAAGATGAGAAAGTAGAAAAAATAAAGAATAGGGAAGAGAAAAATTAGATATGTGCAAGAAAAATAGACTAAACTAATATCAAATCAATAAAGCAGAAAAATAAGACAAAGGGGAAAAAATGAAGTGGTGTTCATCTAACAGAATTTAGTGCCTCCTGGGAACTCCTTTTGGATCCTGTTCTTCTGATGACTGCATCTGACTGTGTGGCCCACCCCTTCTGGGCTTCCAGTGAGGTAGTTAGGTGCTAAACACCGTCAGAAACCTTTTTGTAGCTTCACACAATCCACAGTTTGTATCTGTCTCCACAGGGGTCAAGCTGCACTGTGAGGCCTGTTTGGTAGCAGCACAGGGCCCAGACATGGGTCAGCAGGGTCAGCAAACTTCCCCAGGTTCCCACTTCTGCCCATCTTTGCCTGCCAGTCAGCTGTCATCTTACTCACTCAAAAATCTGTTTCTGAAAGGCCTTTATTTAGAATCGGGAGTACAGACTCCTGGGTCTCCTGTGATGGGGAGGTGCTGTTCAGATTTCAGGGAAAGAGGTGGGTGTGTTTCCGCACCCCAGAGCTGCTCCTTTGAGAGTGTCCCAGAATGTTTCCCTGCCCTCGCCTTCCCTGCCACACAGAAATCCTGTGTGCCGTCCAGTGGTATCAGCTGGATACCGGTAGCTTCTTTCAGTTCCTCCCTGTGGGGGAAGCACCAGGCAGGGTCCCAGCGTAGCAGGGTGGATGGCCGCATCCCCAACCCAGTCACTGGGACTGTTCAAACCTGTAGGCTTGGCCTCTGCTGCTGCCTCCTCTGCAAAGGTTGAGCTGCAGGGTCTGGCAGGAAGGGCTCCTGGGGGTGGGCAGGAGCTGTATCACCTAAGATGAGTTTTTTCCTTTGCCTCAGCTCTGGCTTCTGGGAGGAGCCAGTGCCTCTCAGGAAAAATGGCCCTTTCAGGTTTGGGAGGGTATTACTGAATGCAGGTTTCCCAGCTGCCACTTTTCCACATTTCCCCCAGTGCTTCCCACCCCAGCCTCTCCTTAAGTACCTTGAACCTTGAGTCCATGCCTCTCTCCACCAAAGCCTGGAGTAAGTAGCTGCAAATGAAAATCCTGTGCTCTGGGATCAAAAACAAACAAATAAAACAAATTAACCAAACCAAACTGAGACTGGCTGGTCTCCCTTGCAGCCAAAAGCCCTGCCGCCTTTCACGGTTGTATGTTACTTGAACACACAGCTCAGGTGACCAGGGAGACTATTACTGGGTCCTACAAGACACCTATACATAAGACCTCTCTTCCAAGATTGGGAGATGTAGCAGTTCTACCTAATACATAGGAACAAACAGAGAAAGAGAGAGGAAGAAAAGAAAGAGGTAAAGAGGGAGAGAGAAAAAAGAAAGAAAGAGGGAAGAGACAGAAGGAAGAAGGGAAAAGAAGGAAAAAAAGAAATAACAAACATAACATACAATGATGTGAGAGAGAAACATTGTTCGGTTGCCCTGACTGGGGATCAAATATCCAAACGAGATGTGTGCCCTGACCAGGAATCCTATACCTGTTGGTGTGTGGGAGGAAGCTCCAATCAACTGTGATACACTGGCCAGGTCCGGAATGAATCTTAATGCTGTTTTTCTTTTTCTAGAATTTATATTCAGCCTCCTTCTAGAAATACTTTGAAACACCAGCTTAGATTGTACTATATACTAGAGGCCTGGTGCACAACATTTGTGCACTCAGTGGGTGGGGTGTCCCTCAGCCTGGCCTGTGCCCTTCAGCAATCCCTCAGTCCAGCCTGCGTCCTTCAGCAGACTGGGAGCTCCTCAAAGGGAGCGGGCAGTGGACATCCTTAGCACTGCCACCGCAGTTGTGCTTGCCAGATGTCAGCCTGGCTTGTGGCTGAGCTGTGTCCCCCGTGGGAGCACACTGACCACCAGGGGGCAGCTCTGGCCCATGGTGGTCAGTGTGCCTCACAGCGACCCGTTGTTCTGCAATTGGGTCAATTTGCATATTACCCTTTTATTTTATAGGACAGGTGAGAAAAGAAAAGAGAGATAAAAAAACTTTCCTTCCCACATCACTTCAGAGAACTAACTAGTTCATCTTTATAAATCCGAGTGTTGCTCAAAGGGAAATTATTCAGAGAAAGAACCCTTGTATGTAGGGACAGAGTGGAATAGTGGAAAGGAGCAATACCTCTATTGAGAGGCACAATAAAGGTTCTTTCCTTGTGCTGCTATTGGCCTGCTTTCTGACTTCTCACTGATTTCTCCAGCTACCTGACTACCACCATAAAAGCTATTTTTTTTTTTCTTCCCTTTTTTGTTCCAGGAGATTTTGATGAGTTCACTCACGATAATAATGACAGTATGTTGAAAAGCATAGCAGAAGATCTTCGAAATCTCTTACCTCTAGAAACTATGCTTTCCTCCGAACATCTAGCCGTCCAAAAAGTAAGTACATTGTCATTAATTCACTCTTAGTGCTACTTGAGGATTCTCCAGTTCTTCCCTAACTGCATAGTCTCTCCAGACTGATAGTCCTGAATTCTGCTTTAAATAATTTTTCATGTAGTGCTTTAGCCATGTTCCCGATTCTTTTGAGTCTCCAAGCCCTCTGGCTTCCCAGTATTATTCATTCAACAGATATTTTTGGGGGGATATCTGTTTGCCAAGCAATCAACCTCCTTCCACAATCACAATCCAACAGTAATTGGTCCTGCCTATAACACTGTCCTGATTTTCTCTTCTCTGTTCCAATTCCATCACTTTTATCAATGGTGAAGTTTACCTCTTGTTTCCTTCTCCTACTTTTACATTGTACAGTTTTTGCTTATTCTTCTATTTGTTTATTCTTAGAATTAGTTCTCATTTATCTTCTCAAACAACCCCTAATTCAAGTCCCTTCAAATCCCAACTCCTGTGGGATTACAAATGCTATACATGTTGTTTCCTAAAGCAAAGCTAATGATGATAATCTCTTCTCCCACTGATCTGAAAATAGCAACCCTCCATATGGTTTTTCTAAGCAGAGGAACTAAATCCTGTAAATTTTTAACAGTATTGTGCACATTGTGAACAGTTAGCAAATCTTAGTGAGCATCTGCTCATTCAAGTGGATTCTTAAAAGAAGAAAATAATGAGTAGTATTAAAACTGAGAGAAATATCTAATATAGTTGGATGTTATTGACAAAACAGTCTTATTCATATCATGGTATATCACAATACATAAAAGGTATTCATTGCATGCTAATGATTGACCCACAATTTCATATGCTAATATGCTTTTTATTTAATTTTTCTTTCCTTCTGGTCCTTGTGTATGTTCATATATTTACATACGTATAATATGGTGTGTGTATGTGATTGTGTGTGTGTGTGTGTGTGTGTGTGTGTGTAGATATAGATATAATTTTGTAGGTTTCCAAGAAGATAGGTTGATACTTTACCATAATCAGGTAGAAGGAATCAGACAAAAAAAATTTTTTGTAGTCACTTGCTGTTACCACTAGTATTAATAAAGGGCCATAATTTGTAACCATGAAGGTTTACTAACATTATTATTTGAACACTTTTCCTCTAAGCAAAGATTACTTGCTAAGAATTCTGATGGGTAAGTCATTGACATGGAAGACTCAGAAGAGTGGGTATTAGTTTCCATTCTGATTCCTCTTGCTAGCTACTGTCATTTCTTTGAAGCAATCTCTCTCTGTATCAGTTTCTGTACTTGTAAAATATACTGCTTTAGATGGACAAGATGGTCTCAAAATACTCCTTTCGACTAAAATTGTATATATTTCTCATTGCCATGTTTTGCATAATTACAGGTCAAATAAAAAGTTGTCCACTAACAAAGTGACTCCCATTTGTGTAACTTAATTGAGACTCATTACCTGAATGAGTGAAATCCATCAAAGAATTGGGTGGCCAGGCGAGATGGGCACTTTTAATCTGTCATGGCAGTCACTTTGACAAGTACATCCTGGGAGAAGGTGACGAGAGCTCAGCCTTAGACTGGCTTCCCATACCCACAGAGTGATTTTCCTGGTCAACAAAGCAGTACATGCATGTTAAAGTTACCTTTACCTTTTTTTTATGTTCTTTCATTTGTATCCTTCCTTCAAATAAAGTAAATTGGTACCCTCACACCTCCCAAAAGTTTCAGAAATAAAATGAAAGAAGAGCAGAGTTGCTGATGTAAGTGAAACTAGTCTTTCTGTGCCTTGTTGCTGGCAGAATTTTAGCATATAAACCACTGATGTTTTGCCTTATCTACATATATAAAAGGCTAATATGCAAAGTGTACCCTTAGGAGTTTGACCGGGAGACTGGGAGTTTGATCACTCGCTATGACCACCAGGGAGCAGCACGAAATGAAGGAAGGTCCTGGTGGGCAGACGGAAGAAAGGTCTGAATCAGCCCTGATTGCCCGCTAGGCAGGCCTAGGGACTCTACCCTCAGGTGACCAGATAGCCCCGCTTTTGGTGGGACAGTCCCAATTTTTAACAATTGGTCCCGTGACCTGCGGCATTTTTAAAAAGTCCTGATTTTTTGGAAAGATACTTTTCAAAAATCGGGAGTTTTTTTTAAAACGCCAAGGGACGTGGGACCAATTGTTAAAAATCAGGACTGTCCTGCCAAAAGTGGGACGATTTGGTCACCTTATTCTACCGTGCACAATTTTGTGCACTGGGCCTCTAGTTTAGCAATAAAAAGAGATTTTTTTGTACTTTGTTTCTTTTGATGTGTTTCTTCTCTCTACCAGATACAGCAGCAGCCAGAACCCACAGTTCATGTGGATGCATTCCTTTATGATGAAGATGTTATTGATTCATTATGTGAGGAAGGAAAAATGAGCAGAAACTACTGTGTGGTGTGTGGCTCATACCAGACAGCACCTTTAGGTCAGTACTCAAATATGCAAACCTGCCAAAGCCGGTTTGGCTCAGTGGTAGAGCGTCGGTCTGCGGACTGAGGGGTCCCAGGTTCGGTTCCGGTCAAGGGCATGTACATTGGTTGCACGCACATCCCCTGTAGGGGGTGTGCAGGAGGCAGCTGGTCCATGTTTCGCTCTCATCGACATTTCTAGCTCTCTATCTCTCTCCCTTCCTCTCCTTAAAAAAATCAATAAAACATATTTAAAAAAAAAAAAGTATGCAAACCTGATGACTGTGTGTGTATTTTTCCTTAAATGTCTTGAGTATACAAATTACTGACAGTCTTTCTATGTTTTCTGAAAGCAAAGGCCAACCTACAGCATAGCAATTACCAATTATTGCCGTTAGGTAGACTAAATAGAAATATTGTCTAGGAAGCTAGGCATTTAATGTCTTCCAAGGGGGTATCTCTACTTTTCACAGAAACTGTTTAATCACCAGTGGCTTTGCAGGTCCAGAAACTAATTGTAAGTGACTGAGTACAGGACAACTGACTCATCCCTTCCATATTCAACAGAAATTTGAATATAAACCATATGCTGATTTATTTATAAGAGAAATATAGTTATATTAGTTTAATATAGTCAAGGGGACTGAATGTTCTCTCTAAGAAAACATCTACTTGAGAAATACTGGTATTGTGGATGAACAATATTGTTGAATGAACATGGACTCAGAGGACAATGGTGGATAATCTTGAGAAAGAGTTTATTCAGGCCACGATTTTACTTGTAGAGCATCTTCAGTCCATAACAGGAAACCAACTCCAGCAACAGAAATTTTCCTGCATCTCTGCCCCTCAGATGCAGTACCTGAGTCCCAAATAGCAAACTAGACTGATTCCATGCTGCTACAGGGTAGCTCTTCTGTTAATATATTCTTTGTTCAAACTGGATATGATTGTCTAGGCTGTTACTTTAGACATGCTATTTCAATCTCCCCGGTACCTTAGATTTATTGCTTAGAGTGTTCTATTCTCCAGGTATGTTTCATTGTGCTTATATTACTGATCTTAGATAATATCATTCTCAAAAGTTTACTGTTACCAAATTTGTAAAATGTTTCTAATAAAAATTCATTGTACCTGTATTATAATTGGGGTTAAACATCCTGATTTACTGGTTTAAGGTTTATTTACTTATTTAAAATATATATATATATATATATATATATATATATATATATATATATATTGATTTCAGAGAGGGATAGAGAGATAGAAACATCAATGATGAGAGAGAATCATTGATTGGCTGCCTCTTGCATGCTCCCCACTGGGGATCGAGCCCGCAACCTGGGCATGTGCCCTTGACCGGAATTGATCCTGGGACCCTTTAGCCTGCAGACCGACGTTCTGTCCACTGAGTCAAACCAGCCAGAGCTAAGGTGTTTTTTTTTAGATAGTTCTTTATGGGGTAAAGTCCTTTGGTTTCCATTGGAAGTAGTTGAAACTCTATTAGAAAAGAACTTAAGAACAATAGAGGGAAAACTAAAAAGTGAACTATAACTGTAACAGCATATAAGACTTGATTTATCAAAATGTATAGCTATGTTCAACAAATAAAAATTTAAAGAATAGAATTCATTTTTCCACAAAATCAAGTTGTAGATAGTGACTGGGTATCCATACCCACCCAGATAACCATATGAATTCGAAAAAGCTATCACAATGTGGGACTCCCCTTTCCTTTTTGACAGGGCACTTATCTAGCTACTAATGATGACTAGCCCAGGGCAGAAGCACTCATGTGGCACAGATGATAGTCAAGGTGAAATCCTAGGGAGATAAGGACTGTGGTGTTCAAAGGCCCCCATTACTTCTGAGTTCTAGTCACACCCTTTATTTTCATCTAGCTGAGTAGCCTGCATGCTTCCATTTTCTTTGCCATAGTGCATTAGTTATGACCAAAGTTTCCTTCCTTCCAGACCATTTTGTTACATAAAACATAACGTAGTGAGTTTTTGAGTTACCTCGGTTTCAGAAAAAAAAAAAAAAAAAAAGAAAACATACTCAGGCTGTCCCAGATATTTCATTATAGAAATAATGGAGTAAGAAAATGGATAGGAAGCTAGAAATTATAGCAATTAAACAAAGGGAAATAAGAACAGTTTTGGTAGTATCTTTTTTTTTTATAATATATTTTATTGATTTCTTTATAGAGAGGAAGGGAGAGAGATAGAGAGCTAGAAACGTCGATGAGAGAGAAATGTCAACCAGCTGCCTCCTGCACACCCTCTACCGGGGATGTGCCCGCAACCAATGTACATGCCCCTGACCGGAATCAAACCCGGGACCTTTCAGACCGCAGACCAACGCTCTACCACTGAGCCAAACCAGTTTCGGCAGTTTTGGGAGTATCTTAACCTCCTTCCATATTGCCCCTCTTCTGCACTCCCGGGCCGTCACCTTACGCACCTCCAGAGCGGTCATTCAATTGGTTATCTATTGTCTGTGCAGCAGTGTGTGGCATTTCTGTGACTGGCTCTGGGGTAAGGTGAGAAAGCCAGCTGGAATGGGAGTTAGGAAGCAGTCCCAACAAACAGCAGGTCATAGCGGGGGAAAGGAAATGAGGGGCACAGGGATAGGGCCAGGCAGCTGAGTAGCGGTTCCCTTAGAGACCTTTTAAAATGTCAGAGACTTTATATTTGTTCTCCAATACAACTCATTGAATGAGTAAAAAATTATCACATTAATTTTTTCTAAATAACGTCTGAATGGCTTTCATTGAGTAAGAAAATAAAAAATATGAAATACTCTACGTAATAAAAGCCTAATATGCAAATTGTCCCCTAATATGCAGAGGGTGGGGCCCACTGGCCAACCACAGGAAGGGAGGCCCATGCACTAATTTTGTGCACTGGGCCTCTAGTTCTTTATAAATACAGGTGAATGTTTATAAATACAGAATTGAATTGTCAGTACCCAAGCAAAATTTATTCACTCTGTTCTAATTCTGCAGGATTTATTTCTCATTCCTTCTCTCTCGTGGAATTGAAGTTCATTTACCATCATGTGCTCCCTGATCTTTCGGGAAAGCTCTTGGTTGACGTCGGCTCCAGGCTTGGCTCAGTCCTTTACGGGGTAAAATCCAGCTTATGGACATACTCAGCATTTGGAAAATACTTTCCTGCTAACAACAGTTTTGCCTGCCACCATCCAAGGTGACAGCTTGGTTTTATTTATTAGAGTTAACAATAATAAAAGTAAAGTAGTATATTGAGTTTGGAATTTCAAAGGGCAGCTCTCTGATTTCCTTTATTAGTTTGTCTCTATGACACAGATGAAGGAATATCAACAAAACAGAACCAGGTAACTCACACACTTTGCTGCTTTGTAGTCACCTCTGCCCTTTTAACTGTTTTCCTTGTGCTGTGCTAAAACTGTATACTAGCATTGGTAAGAGCTCTTACAAAACTGACAACTTAAAATATATATATATATGAAGCAAAAGAAAGAATGAATGATGAGGGCAAGAAGGGAGCATCTCGTAGAGTGGTAGAATTGAATCATATGAAGGAAGTCAAGATCTTGAAGACATCACCAGGCTAATAAGACTCAGGGGACAGACAAAAAAGAAATGTAATTGGTAGAACAACAAAACTTAGTGCTGTGGGACTTCCATTCATTTCCTGATGGACCACCACGACCAGCTTTGTAATTTACAGGAGTCCGTTTGAAATAAAAATGTGTGTCTCCTGTTCAACATGCAGGAGGACAAGGGCCATTAAAAAAAAAAAAAAAAAAAAAAAAAAACCTGACAAGTTTATTTGACCTAAGAAATCGCCCAAGGCCATAAGCAAGTTACCTAACACCTCTGGGCTTCAAGTTCCTGCCCTGTAAGTGAGCAAACGAAATGATATCCAAGGACACATCTTACTCCAATTTTCTGTTATCCACAGTTTGAATGTAGACATTTGTTTCTGAAATATCACTTGAATATGACTTTTTAAAGAACTTAAATTATGAGTATTTTTAATGTTCTTAAATTATTTAATAAAAACGGAAATGTGGTTTGTGGCTGTCATTCGCAGACGTGTTCAAACGTGGCCAACAGCAGGAGAGGCTCATGCCAGAAACAGGCACTAGCACTTCCCAGCATCATTGCTGGCCCTAAACAGAACAGTTAACTCTTCGATGCTTAACTCTTTGAAACTTTATTCTGTAACTAGAAAAGATAGCCATAATGGAAAAGTACTAACTTGTCAAGTATGATAGTTTTCTTTGGATAACATTAGAGATTTATGATTGTGTACCATATTTTGTCCACTGTTGTCCATTTGTTTGGTTTTTATTTGTTAAAAAATATATAGCTGAAATATATTTTGAAATATTTGAAATAATTGGCTGTGCAGGTGTGTAGCAGTATTAAGTAATTTAAATATATTGTCATTTTTCTTTTTATTAGATCACTGATTCAGTCAACAAAAATTTTTTAATTTTTGCTCTGTTGGACATATTCTAAAATACATGATGAGCTGTAAATATAAATTTGGTTTACACTTAGGTGTTAGTTGATATCAAATGGTATTCAGAATATGACTTGACCTTTCCTTCCAGATATTGTTTTGCTATTGAAACCAAAATAGATACATAACAATATACAGTCAATTCTTGATTATCCTTGTTAACTAATTGGTCATTATTTTGTCAGAGTGCCAGGCTGACTTCCCTAAACCAAACAACATACCTCTGCAACCTTCCTTTCTTGTCAGGCTGCTTGATTTTCCAACTGTTCCCCACAGGTTCATTCCTTTCTTGCTTTTCCTGAAGCAACTTCCAAGAAATTACAGAAATAGGGTGTTAAATAGAGAATTTATATAGAATCACTTTTCTCATTTTCACTTTGTTGAGTGCACAGTTTTATCAGAAAAAGTAAGAAATCAATCTTTTAAAATATAATTACTTTTAAATAATGGAAATTATTAAGAATGGTAAAGAACTTCAATCAAGTTCTTGATCAGTAAGTCTTTAAGTTCTTAAAGTTGTAAGTTTTACATAAACTATCTTTACTTTATTGAATTCTATTTTTTAAAGTTTGACTTTTTTTAAAGTAGAAGTAAACCATAATAAAAAGTTAATTCATTTGTATCCTAATATATTCTTATATTTTAGGGTTATCTATACAGTTCAGCATTGCAACTGTATGGAGTAGAATTGAATGGAGACTTTTGCCAATTGCAGGAAATGATCATAAAAAAATACCAGTTCACTGACAGAATAAAGGTATCCTTTCAAATATATATTTTGTTATTCATTGTAAAGCATTGTTTAGGCAATTTCTTCTGCACTGTAGTTGGAAAATCTTTTTTAATCTATTCTTAGTTGCTATTGTATAGAAACAAATTTGAGTTGACTTAATATTTTAAAACATTAATAAAGGTTAATTATTATCATTATATTTCACTCACATATTTCTCTCCTCCCCAATTTTATTAGGAAGTGGGGGGTTTTCTTAGTTTGCTTCATATCAGCTATAATATTGCTAGTAGCATTTTTGAATCTCAAGATGTTGGTCAGAAGTGTATTTAATTAATCTCTGAATGTATAAAGTAAGCAAACAGGTTAAGTAATGCTCATAGCTCTTTATCTTCTGTTTTGTAAGCTTTCAGGAGGAATTGTGGGCCGCGAGGCTGCAGTGGGCATGGGGGTGGGTCTCGGTCCATCCTCTGTGCCCCTGCCCAGCCCCTCCTGCCATGGCCCCCAGTCCCCTGTCTACTGGCAGCCCTGCTCCCACCACCGCTGCTCCCATATGCTAATAATTCTGGCCCCATTCTCACCTGCTGATGGTGCCGAGTGATTGGGGCTGATGCCAGCAGTGAGTGTGAGTGGGACCAGCACCGTCAGTGGATACAAGTGGTGGCTACTGCCCTAATCGCCCCTCAGGAGCAGGGGGAGGTGGGGAAGCCCTCAGGGGCTGATCAAGACCTGCGCTAGACACCTGTTGGAAGTTTCCCATTGTCTTCACTAGCAGAGAGGTGTGGACAAGGAGGCCAGAATGCTGGTGAACCTTGAGTTAGTTTACACAATGGTAGCTGATGCAATTTCCCGTCATGTAAATCCTTACTAATAAGAGTATCTGTTACTGGAATTGCTTGCCTAAGGGCTATAAGTGTATCCCAAACTGAATAAAAGGATGCCAAGGCCTTGAGCTCAAATGGAGTCCTTCCTCTTGTGTTGGGCCCCCCAATTTCCAAATTATTATTTCTTGTCTCTTCTCTGTCATTTGAGTGCACCCCTTCTCCAGAGCTCGAACCCTGAATCACGTGGGACGTGGGCCATCACAGGCACCAGCAGTGGGTGCAAGCAGCAGCTCCAGCACTGGCAGCAGGTGTGAAGCCGGGCTGGCCCCAGCAGTGGATATGAGATCTGCTGCCCTGATCTTCCCTCAGGAGCATGGGGAGGTGGAGAAGCCCTGAGGGGCGATCAGGGCCAGCAGCTGCCGCTCACACCCACTGATGGCACCAAGAGATGGGGCTGATCCCAGGCACCTGATAGCAGGTGTGAGCAGCAGCTCCAGCACTGGTAGCAAGTGTGAGCAGGGCAGGCACTGGCAGCAAGTGCAAGCTCTAGGAGGGACTGTGGAGGCAGGAGCAAAGAATTTTCAATAACCACCAGAGGCTCTCCCCAATGACAGCAACTGGTGCCCCGCCTTGATCTGGCACCCCCTCCTGAGAAGCAGTTTCTCTCTCTCCCTATTCCTCTCTGTCTTAAATCAATAAAGATGTCCACAGGTGAGGATTAAAATAATAAAAATGAATAAATGAAATTAAAATTGTTTGCTTTGCTCTTGAGCAAATAAATGTTTCTTCTTGTTATATCGCCTGTAGTCTATAAGACTTGATGATTGTGGCCTAAGTTAACTTTGTGAGGTATATAGTTTTTAAATAGTTTTGTTTGCTTTTTTGGACAGATAATATATTCTACTGTATTTTATATGAAAAGCCAGACAAGACCAATTAACATAGTGTATTAACATATTATAATTTATAAATTACTTTTATAGTTTTTATGGTCCTGTTTGATCTATGAGTCAGGACAGATATTATTGTATTTTATTTATGAGGACCCTGACTACCTAAGTGTACAAACCTCATTGTTGATGAAGCAAGAGTTTGATGACACAACCACTGATATAGTCTCCCCTTACTTGTGGGTTGTATGTTCCAAGATCCCCACTGGATGCCTGAAATTTTGATAGTACCAAACTCTGTATATAGTGTTTTTTCCTGTACATATATACCTATGATAAAGTTTAACTTATAAATTAGGCATAAGAACTTAATAACAATCCTATATAATAAAAGCCTAATATGCAAATTGTCCCCTGGCGTGGTCGTTCTACTAAGAGACCAGGAGTTCGACCGGTCACTATGATGTGCCCTGACCACCAGGGGGCAGCACAGAACATGGTAGGCATTGAGGACGCGGCGCTGGCAGTGGGTGGCAGTGGAGGTGGTACCATTCCCAATGGGCCCTGATGGGAACGTTACTGCGATGGGATGGTAGAGCAGGTGAGCAAGTGGCACCAGGCCAAGGTGGGTGTGAGTGGAGGCCTAGGTGCTGCCCATGGCCCAGAGGTCAGCTGGAACCTGCCTTCCACACCAGGCGCTTGTGCTTCAGTCACCTGCCAAGCCTAGGGATGACACCCATGCTCAAATCTCATGCACTAGTAACTAATAAAATAGAACAATTATATTTCAGTAAAAGATATGTGAATGGCATCTCTCTAGTAATTTTTATATTTTTTAGTCCAAACCATCTGTTACTTGCAGTAAATAGCTTGGTGTCACTTGTGTCAGGGATCGCTTGCTGAAGTCTTTGTATAGGCTCAATGCTTTCTGGCACAACACAGTACTGTCAATAGGAACACATTTTCTGCTATGTCTACTACCCACAAATATAGTGACTTTTCTTTATTAACTAACCACTCAACATGCACTGTGGCCCATACTTTTTTGCAGTTTGAGATGCAATGCAAAACTAGCATAGATTTGTTTTTCTTCTTCACAATTTCATAGACAGATTTGTCTTTACCGTAGATCTTAGGAACCTCAACATAAAAGTTTTTTCTTTCCTTATTAAGTTGAGAACTTACACTTTTTCACAGGAAGCACTTTCTGGCTTCTCATTGTCATATCTGAATTGCTAGCATGACTACTCTTATACTTTGGGGCCATTATTTTTTTCAATTACCAAGAATTGTGCCTCGGATAACCTCATTGGCTACGATACTGCCCCTGTGCAAAGCTGGGGCCATTATCAAGTAAAATAAGGGGTTACTTGGACACAAGCACTGTGATTCACTGGTTAACAGTTGATCTGTAACCAGATCGGCTACTCAGTGACAGCGGGCGGGTCGCATATGCAGCGTGGATATGCTAGACAGAGAGATGATTCATGCCCGGGCAGGATGGAGTAGGACAGTGTGAGATTTCATCATGCTCTGCACAGTTCACAATTTAAAACTCACTACGAATGATATATTACTTGGATTTTCCATTTAACATTTCAGACCATGGTTGCCCACTGGTAACTGACCCCGTGGAAAGCACAAACACGGGAAAGGCGGTACCACTGTAGTGGAAAAGAGCAAACTTATGAATATGTAAATAATTATATCTAAACGGATAAATTTTCACAAGTTTATCATTTTTATTAGATACTATCTCCCATAAGTGAAAGATGCCATTCATATATCTTTTACTGAAATATAATTGTAATATTAAATATACTGTACTTTCTCCCATTTTAAGAATTAGGGTAAACTTCACATATTACTTCACAACATTATTGACCCAATATATAGTTCTGTGATTATATGCTATGGTATGCTTGTTCTCTTAAATGATCGCATTCTTATTTAGGTGCTTCATGCAGACATCTGTACCCAGGATTCACTTCTGCAAAATGCTGATGTTGTTATAATGAATAATGTCTTCGAATATTTTCTTGATGAGGCAGAACAGGCCAGGTATGTTATTTATTCAAACAAGAAGAAAAAGGGATTGGTAAAGTAGAAGTGTTTTCTTATTAAACTTTTTAAAAATGACCTCAACTGTGAGATTATATTTAAAAGGAAATACGTTCTGTATAAAATAAAAATAAACTGTCTAATTTTGTAAAGTATTGCGTCTCATTTTATGCAGGTATGAAATTTTATGACCCAAGTATTTGTTTAGCCATCAGGGATGAAATAAGATATCACTTCCTAATGGGTCTTTATACAGTACTTTTTCTGTATAAAGACCCATTTTTGTTGTTGTTTTTTGCCTTTTAAAAAAATATGTCATGATGCTATCCTATCATAAAATGAATGGAAATTAACTAATGCCTATAAGTGAATATAAAACAAGATATAAGAGTATTAACCAGAATTTTGATTATCAAACTTGAAAAATGTTTTCAAGGGATAATAAATAGAAGTTTATTTCAATATTCAAGCAATAGAAAAATTAGCAATCCTGTGATCACTTTTCTGCCACAATTTTTAAAAAAATATTTCATTGATTTTAGAGAAGAAGGGAGAGGAGAGAGAAGTAGAAACATCAATGATGAGAGAGAATCATTGATCGGTTGCCTTCTGCATGCCCCCTACTGGGGATCAAGACCGCAACCCAGGCATGTGCACTTGACCGAAATCGAACCTGGGACCCGCAGGCAGATGCTCTGTCCATTGAGCCAAACCAGCTAGGGCCTCTGCCACAATTTAATGCTTTGTGATCCATAAGGACCTATAGATTCCTTTAATTAGAAAATTTCTCTAGTCTGTAGTCTGAGACACTGACTTTATGGCTACGTAAGCTTGCTGACTTCTTATTTATACTTTAGATACAGATACGGGAAAGCTCCTTTCCAGTGATATGAAAGGGAATTACATACATGTTTGGATTACCTGAGAGAAATAAAAGTGCATATAATAAGTTAATAATGAGTGGAATTCTGAATGGTTAAACTTATTCTGTCCCTTACTAACACACTCTCTCTCTCTCTCTCTCCCTCTCTCTCTCTCTCTCTCTCTCTTACACACACACACACATACACACACACACACACACACACACACACACACACGCACGCACGCACCCGCGCGCTCGCGCGCATGCACATCTATAGCCATTACTAGTAGATTAAGGTCACTACAAAATTAATAGTTTAAGTAGTTTAAAAAGAAACTGCTTCAACAGAAAGCTAATCATCTAATCAAATTTCAGCCAGAATGAGGGGTAATTTTTTTGGTTACAGACTAAAGACCAGAAACACAATATGTGCAAAGTTATTTTAATTATAATGCCCTTAATTTCCAGTAGACAATGTATGATTAGCTTTTTATTTAAAAAAAACAACAACATTTTATTGATTTTTTTTACAGAGAGGAAGGGAGAGGGATAGAGACTTAAAAAGAAACATTAATCTGCTGCCTCCCATACACCTACTAGGTATGTGCCCACAACCAAGATACATGCCCTTGACCGGAATTGAACCTGGGACCCTTTAGTCCGCAGGCTGACGCTTTATCCACTGAGCCAAACCGGTTGGGGCAAGCTTTTTATCTTTTTAAATTGATCAGTAGTCAAAACATTACATAATTGTTGGAAAGTGAAATATTACCAGGTTTATGTTGTATAAGAAGTTTTAAAACACCCTAAACTCTTTGGAGATTTATTATATATAAAGATTTTGAATGCTGAGGAATGATGAAAGCTATTGCCGAACTTGATACTGGAAATACTGCATATTTGCATTATTTTCAAAACTCTCTTGGTGCCTTTATTCACACGCTCTACATGATTCACTAAGTAGATATTGGCACCTGTGTTAGTTGTTTTTCTCGAATTAGTCTAGCACAGTGAATTCTAAATCTAGCTGGTTTTATGACTCTCCTAGTTAATTATCTTATCTTCATCTTGAATGACAGTTCCCAGAAGAAAGGTTAGAAGATATGGTGAATCATTCTGATATTGGAATTGTTCTGACAAAACTGATCATTTACTCATTAATTCTATATTGTAGTAAGTAAAAGAGAATAGATGGCACAAAAGTAATTCGTATAGCCTCCAGAGACTTTTAATCTTAATCAACATCTGAGGACAAGTGGAATGGTACCGCTGCTATAGTAGTTAGTGCGTAAAAGAAAACAGAAATATGTCATAATAATAGAAATGTGTCTTCAGGAAAGGCTCAGGCTTTAGAATAAGTTAGATCTCATTACAGAGTAACACCCAGATTGTAAAGTAAGTATTGGTTTAAAAAGTGCCTGTAGCCCTGGCTGGCTCAGGTGATTGTTGTCCTGTCCTGGTGAGAGTGTACACCTCTGAGAAGCTGGTCTATGCTTCTCTCTCACATCGATTGTTTCTTTGTCTTTCCCTTCCTTCCTAAAATCAATAAAAATGTTTTAATAAATAAAATAAAATAAAATAAAAGGTGCTTCTATGTTTTTAGTAGGTGAAACAGATATAACTACTACCATGACAGCTTATCAGAAATATTAAGTGCTATTTTGAGAGTCATGCCCAGTATACTTAGCTTCTTCATTCTTATCAAATAAACTTATAAAATGTCATTTTTAAGGAACCACTGGAAAAAACACACAAACAGCTCTAGCCCAATCATGGTGATAGTTATTATCAAACACTGCTACATGATTTTAGATCTAGCCTGAGAAAAAAACATTTGTATCATTTTATCTATTTAACTCCAAAATGTACTAAACTTCATATCCATTGCTGTAACTGAAATAAGTGCAAATGACACAGCTGCTCACCTGCCCCACTGCAAGGGATGCACATCTCTGCTTTGCCTGACATCGGTCCCTAGTAGTGGGATGTACTTTCAAGATTCAGCGTAGAAACCCAGTTCATGTCTGCACTAAAGATAATTCAGTCCTGGTCAGACACTGCCCTCTGACACACCATGGCACATGGCTTTCCATCATGCTTTGCACCTGGCTGGTCCCACTAAACTCAGGTGCCATATTATCCAGAAGTCTTTGCATTGAATATTTATGGCAACCAAATAAAGTATGATTTCACTTTTGATTTAGTGTTAGTTTGTGTGTGTCTTTTTAATGTATTTTATTAATTTTTTACAGAGAGGAAGAGAGAGGGATAGAGAGTTGGAAAAAATGATGCGAGAGAATCTTCGATCAACTGCCTCCTGCACCCCCCCCACTGGGAATGTGCCCACAACCAAGGTACATGCCCTTGACTGGAATCGAACCTGAGACCTTTCAGTCCGCAGACCAACTCTCTATCCACTGAACCAAACCGGTTTCGGCTAGTGTTAGTTTTTGCTTGGTATTTGGTTCTACCTCTCAGCCCAGTTCCTTTAAGCAGAACCATTTTTTGTTTCATACTTTGTAAGAAATTTAAGAGCCACTAACTGATGCAGCTTTAACTTCTGAATTGGTTCTGAAATTGAGTTTTGGCCTCACTCACAATGCCTTGTAATAGCTTAAATCACATAGCTCGATCTCCTTACATCTTGTCAACTGTAACTTCACAATTTTCCCAGCACCTCTTCAGGAACTGAAGAATTGACCAATTTCTAGTATGTTGCTGCAGTCCTGTTTTCTGCAAGCAAACATTTTTGCTCATGATACCACTTGTGCTGCATTTCCTTTTGTCATCGACATTTTAAAAAAAATTTCCAGTGTCTGGTTAAACCTGACATAATGCTTTTAATGTGTTACAGAGCCTGGGAATGTATCAGCATTAACGTAAGGAAGCAAGGCTCGTTATTGGTGACAGTGCCAAGCCTTGAAGAGTCTCTCTCAGGTCTTCAGGTATGTAAGCCTTCCTCCCATTTTTATAGTCAAAACTTGTCTTCTACTTTCTCTGATAGCTGTTACAATATTCTAGAAATGTTCTGTCTAAATGGCTTAATAACTGGTTTTTGGTTGATTAACTGGCCTCAAGAGCCCTCAAGTCGCCATTCATATCTTGATATGACCTCCTTTGCTTCTCCACCCAATTTTTCCAGCTGTGGCATTATAGTTTTAGGATAACAAATGCTATTAAATGTTTGTTAAGAGGCTTTAAACACCCACATCATAACTTTTTCCTTAGAACAAAAGGAACAGAGTTATCCAAGGTTATATAATCAAATAGACTGGAGGCAGCTCAGTTTAGCCTCTAAGTCAGTTTGAAATTTTACACAAACCTCTCTTGCTCAGTCAGACTTTGCGTATAAAATAAGGCTGACATTTAATAATATGATTCAGCCCAATATATTGATCTCTATTCAAAGGTTAATTAGTGTTTGTAAAGCTCTTTGAGATCCAAATGAAAAGTAGTGTTTCTTAATAAATACAGTTTTATTCTTTTCTTTGGTCGTGCTTTCCTTATATATAAGCACTGCCAAATTTAAGTATCTGTTGTTTTTTCCTTTAAAAAAATCTAAATAATCATCAATAATATCTTTTAAAATTTTTTGGTCAATCATCTAAATTACAAAAGTAATTCATGTTTGCCATAATGGGGAAAGTAATCCATAGATACGTGAAGAGAAGATGTTAGTCTCTGGTTTCTCCCACTCAACTCTTCCCCATGAGATCCTGCCTCTTGAGTGTGATCTTACCATACTTTTCCATACTCATAAAAGCATGCCTTTAATTTTATTATTTTTTATTGATTTTTAGAGAGAGAAAGGGAGAGAGAAAAATGAAATGAGAGAGAAACATCGATTGACTGCCTCCCACACACATCCCAACCAGGGATTGAACCCACAACCTAGATATGTGCCTTGACCAGGAATCCAACCTGTAACTTTTGGTGTATGGGTCAGTGCTCCAGCCAACTGAGCCACACCGGCCAGAGCAAAAACAAACCTTTTAAAATATGTGGTCTCCTGTTTGTAATTTCTACATATATTGAAATAATTCAGTTATTTTACCAAAATAACAACTTTCACACTAAATACATAAATCTGTCTAGACAACCATTGGAAATTACAAGAGCCCTTGTATATAAATTCTTGAATAATTTTATTGCTCTCATATTTAATGAAACTTCTTTACACAGATTATTGGCTCCAGAATTTCTTTGTCATAGAGACTCGCGTTTTCAATGTAAAGGGAAGGGCCTTATGAAGGGAGATTAGTCCTGCTTACATAACCCCTTAGCAACCACACTGTTTATACGAGCAGTTTTTTGTGTATTCCCATTGTTTTAGAATTTTGTTTAAATGTAATGATGATTAAATTATGTACATTAAAACAATTACTATTTTCTTTATTTTTTAAAATTTCAAAATCTCAGAGTAAGTTAAATTCCTGAATCCATAGACCATTTAGTACAACGTGTACCATTTTGTACAACAAAAACTGTTCATATGAATAAGAAAAAGAAAAGAATTGTCCAGGTAGCACAATGTAGATCTTACTCCTGCTCATTGTAATAAAAATCTGCCTGGCTAGTATGGCTCAGGGGTTGAGTGTCGACCTATGAACCAGGAGGTCACGGTTCGATTCCTGGTCAGGGCACATGCCTGGTTGCAGGCTTAATCCCTAGTGCAGGGCATGCAGGAAGCAGCCGATCAGTGATTCTCTCTAACATTGATGTTTCTATCTCTCTCTTCCTCTTTGAAATCAATAAAAAAAAATACTTAAAAAAAATCTTTTGTGTTTAGTAACTTACTTAGTCATGATTTCTTTTAGAAAATAGGATATTCTGTAATTTTTCTGTTTGTTTATAATCTTTTTTTTTTTTTTCCAGGTTAGTATACAGTTATCTTCCTGGGTTGAAGAGATACCACTGAACTATGATGTATATCCAGAAAAGGATATTAACAGGGAAGCTTTTGAACAAATACATTTGTATAAGATTCTCTAGCACTAAAATAGTCCTACCGCAGTATAGTAGCGGTTTTTGAGTATATTACAAAATAATGAAAAGAAACATAACCCCAACACCCTAACACACATTTTTGTGTATATTCCTTTCTAGTCTTTGTACATATGTTCACATATTTATAAATAGTTGCATTTGTATATTTGCAACTTTGATTTGTGTGATAATTTAATAAAAATACTTATCTGAAATTTTTTTTGTTTTCCTATAGTTTTTTTTTATTCTGTTACAAATATAAATATGTCTTACTTTAGTCACTAACTCTGTATACAAAGTCTAGATATAGGGGGGGGAAAGATTAGTAGTAGTTTCTATTAAGAGAAGTGTGAAGAGTAAGATAAGTTACATTGTATTCTAATTATTAAATCTCTGTTCTGTCAGATTCCTCATATACAGTTTTATCTGAAGAGTATAGCAAGCATAGTTGCTAAAGAATTGAACCCAGGACCCTTCAGTCTGTAGACTGATGCTCTATCCACTACCCTCGTACTAATGAGAACATAGAATTAGGCGCAGCTAAGCACGGTGCAGTGCATATCCCCACCAAACTCCGGTGCAACGCGTACCCCCACCAAACTCTTCCCGTACCCCTGGGGGTACGCGTACCACACTTTGGGAAACACTGCGTAAGCCAAACAGGCTGGGGCCAACCTTTGCTCTTTTGGATATACCGTACCTTCCCCTTCTCCTCCTGCTGCTTGTACTCATCAGCTGAACCTAATTGACACTTGTGTTCGGGTGCTCTGGGATGAACAAGGAATTTCACTGAGTGTCAACCATGAACCAGGAGGTCACAGCTCAATTCCTAGTCAGGGCAAATGCTTAGGTTTCGGGCCCAATCCACAGAAGGAAGTTTGCAGGAGGCAGTTGATTGATAATTCTCTCTCATCACTGATGTTTCCATCTCTCTGTCACTTTCTCTCTCTGAAATCAAAAACATTAACAACAACAAAAACTTGAACACTTAACTAGTTCTAGTAATCTCATATTTAGTATTCTACTTAAATTATTTTTTAAAAATTAAACTAACACACTGCCCAGACAACAATGTAGCTTCACACTTTTATAAACTTGCACTGAAACACTGCAAAATGTCACGTCGTACCTATGACTCTTAGTTTATACAGCGTGATACAAGTTATTTTCCCAAAGTACAAGACACGGGCTCATGGTTCTGGCTGTCTCTTCAGCAGCATGTGAGGGCAGATATTTTCAATGTTTAAAAAGTATGAAAAATAAATTAAAAAGCAAGTTAAAAAAATTAAACTAACACATGTTTTGTAATTGTAGAACCTTTGGAGATCTAGCTGTTAAAAGGACTTGATGTGTTTTTTGAAATTACCTGCCAATGAAAAAGAATTTACAATAGCAGTTAGTTTTAACTTTCAAAAGAAAGTTATTGGTCAATAGCTAAACCAGATGATAAAAATAAAAACAGATGTTTGGAACTTTACTGTTGATATTAATAAATTGAATATTTAGGGTTGGATAATAGTTAATATTGATATAAAAATAAATGCTGGAATTCCAATAATTTCTTATTCATACAGGCATTCTAACTCATTAAACTTAAATAATGTTTATAATTTATTGGTTTGAGAGAGAGGAGGGAAGAGAGAGAGAAGAAAAAACGTTGATATGTTGCTCCACTTATCTATGCATTCATTGGTTGATTCTTATATGTGCCCTGAATGGGGATCAAACCCACAACTTTGGCGTATCAGGATAAAATTATAACCAACCATGCTAGTCACCCAAAGTTGTTAGGAAGTGATTAACAACTTCTGGCATCTCTCAGTAATAATTGGTGGGTGTTTCTTGGAGGTTATGCAGAATCTCTGAGACTTTGGAAAAAGATTTCCGGAAAAGGAGAAAAATTACAAGTATTCGTAAATAGCTTCTAGCTGTTAGTCATGTGATTATTTTATACATAATTAGAAGCCCGGTGCACAGATTCATGCACTGCTGGGGGTCCCCTGGCCTGGCCTGCAGGGATTGGGCCAAAACTAGTCCTCCAACACCCCACCAAGGGTTTCAGATTGTGAGAGGGTGCAGGCCAGGCCAAGGGACACCACTGGTGCACGACTGGGGCCGGGGAGGGACTGCTGGAGGGCTCCAAGGCGTGTCCAGCCCATCTCACCCAGTCCTGATTGGCCACACTTTAGCAAGCTAACCTACTGGTCAGAGCGTCTGCCCCCTGGTGGTCAATGTGCATCATAGCAACTGGTCAAAAGGTCGGACACTTAGCATATTAGGTTTTTATTATATGGGATTAAATGCATTGGCTTATTGTGATAACATATTCAGACACCTAAAGTTCACATACAACAAACAATACTAACTGGAGCAAATAGAGCATTACATAAAATACATATTCATCCATGAAAAAAATGAGTTTATTAGCAATATGGCACATGATTACAATCATGTAACAGTTACTGAACTTCACTTTTTGCTTTACCGATTGTTAAGAAAGTATTTCCTAAACTCTAAATCCCAATTGCCCTAGTGTTTATTTAAATGTTTCTCAGAAGCATAGACCTCTAAAGCAAAGTATGCTGCTATGGCTCTTAGGGAAAGCCAGAATTCCCATTCTAGGTAGAATGCCCTGGACAGGCCAGAGAGTAGAGAACAGTAGCAATACTCAGGACCCTGAGGGAAGAAACCTATTTGTAAACCTAGTTTCAAATCATTCAGCCCCTCATCTGTGAAACAAAAATAAGAATTTACCCGTCAGTGGAATACAGTAAAAAATATCAATTATTAGTGTTTACCATAGATATGTGATTAAAATTACAGAAATAATGCGCAATTGTTTAAATCACATGTCACTGCTGTGATTTTAGACATGTCAAAATGAGCTGTGGATCTTTAGTTAATGGAGTGGCAAAAAGGTATAAGTAGATTAAAATATTGGAAAATATTTTGTGTGAACTTGTATATGCTAACATTTTTAAATAAATGCCCGAGGCAAATATTAGAACAGTAGTATATTTAGGAGATATCTCTATACCAGTGTTAATGTTCTGCAAGTTAAAGTTGTTTAACTGTATATTTTAATGTCTATATATTTGTCTAGAGACAATTCCTGTTGTTATAAAAGCTAGTTTCTGCCAGGCCAGCATGGCTCAGTGATTGAGTGTCAACCTATGAACCAGGTCACGGTCTAATTCCTGGTCAAGCACATGCTCAGGTTTTAGGCTCGATCCCCAGTAGGGGGCTTGCAGGAGGCAGCTGATCAATGATGATTCTCCCTCACCATTGACGTTTCTAACTCTCCCTCTTTTTGAAATATGTATTTGTGTGTGTGTGTGTGTGTGTGTGTGTGTGTGTGTGTGTCTATGTGTGTTTAAGATAGGTTCTTATTTTATTTATTTTTAAAATATATTTGATTGATTTTTTACAGAGAGGAAGGGAGAGGGATAGAAAGTTAGAAACATCAATGAGCGAGAGACATCCATCAGCTGCCTCTTGCACACCCCCTTCTGGGGATGTGCCCGCAACCACGGTACATGCCCTTGACCGGAATCGAACCTGGGACCTTTCAGTCCGCAGGCCGATGCTCTATCCATTGAGCCAAACCGGTTTTGACTAGGTTCTTATTTTAGGAAAATTTTTGGTGTTGGAAGTTTTTCACTTCTTGCTGTTTGTTGCTCCTTAGTCTCAGTGACCCTCTCTACCCACTAATGTCCATGTCATGTGTCTCAGAAGGTTCAGGGGATAGAAGGGTAGTAGATAAGATATATTCATATTTCAGCAACCAAATGAAAAATACATAAAACAAAAAGAAAAACATTTTTTTCAATTAGCATTACATAAAATAAACACTAAAAACATTAAGATTACAGTAAATGTCCTTTACCTCATAAAATATATGACAAACTTAATAGAAACAGAAAATAAAGTTGCTTATTAGGGCATTAGAACTTTTTTCTGCCCATGTTCCTTTAAAATTCTTCAACTTCTCCAACTTTTGTCACCTCTTTCTCTCATCTAACCTCCAATCCCCTCTACGAATGCAGATGCCCTTGAGGTCTTATTTGGGGATACCACAGCTTAAACAGTGCAGAATTTCATGAAAACTTCATAATCAGTAGACATTGTATTTTATATTGATGAATTTACAGCCATGCAACTATTGCACTAATCATACAAACATGTATTAAGCTCACATTGTACTAGTATATTTAGCACTCTGACACTGTAGACACAAAAATCAAACACTTGGTTTCATCCTAAAGAATCTTAACTGTAAAGAGGAATGTCCCGGTACACAACATTCGTGCACTGGAGTGGGGGAACGGGGTCCCTCAGCCCGGCCTGCACCCTCTCACAGTCAGAGATGCTTCAGGGGATGTTCACCAAGGGATCCTTGGCTGCCTCAGTGGCAGGAGAGGCTCCCACCACTGCACCACCTGTGAGCTCAGCTTCTGGCTGAGCAGTGCCCTCCCCACTTCCCACCCCCTCCGTGGGAGCGCACTGACCACCAGGGGCAGCTCCTGCATTGAGCATCTTCCCTCTGGTGGTCAGTGCACGTCATAGTGACTGGTTGTTTCACTGTTGAGTCGATTTGCATATTAGGGTTTTATTATATAGGATTTATTTATTTATTCATTCATTATTTTTATTACAAATGGGAAATGTGACTTTATTCAGAACATAGCAACAGGTTTTTGGATCTCATCCTTTCCACCTTAAACTGGGAAATAGGTAAGAAGGATTTAAAATATGTGGCCCAAGCAGAGACATATTAGATTAGATAAAGGATAAGGAAAGATGGTCTTGGTAGAGGAAACAGCCTGTGCAGAGGCATACAGCATAATGAGTATTTTATATATATACTAGAGGCTTGGTGCATGAAATTCGTGCACAGAGGGAAGGCCCTCAGCCTAGTCTGCACACTCTTCAATTTGGGACCCCTCAGGGGATGTTGGACTGTTGGTTTAGTCCTGATTTCTGGGAATCAGACATCCCTCTCACAA